GGTGTTTGCAGGGTCCCTGTGCCACTGCTGAGCGCGACGCACCCAGACCAGGCCGCTCTGATCTTTCCATTCTTAAGATCAGTCGGCGGGAGAAGGGTCGCCAGGACTTTTCCTAGCTGGAGCTGCTAGATCTCTGACTCAGGGGTGGCTGGGATTACAGGCGTGAGCCACACGGGTGCCTGGCCTGGTAGTTGCTGCTTTGGGATAAATCCTGGGCAAACCCACTGGCTCACCTCAACCCGCAGTGGGAGAAGAGAGCTGGAGAGAAAGTCCTGGAACTTTGGCATCTCCAGAGGCTCAGAGGAAGAATGAGAAGTCCCCTCTCCTGGGTGCCCCCCCCCACAAACTGCAGAGTCCTAGAAGGGTGTGTCATCTGTCATCAGGGGCTTAGAGGAGTCTCAGCTGCTCTTCCCCCTCCCCCCTCCTGCTGGCCACCAGCCGGGCCAGCGATGGGCCAAGCCACGCCCACCCCAGGGCCTTTACACCTGCTGTTTCTCCTGGGTGTCCCCACATGCTGGCCTCCTCCCCTCCTTCAGGTCTCTGCTCAGATGTCATACCTCCCAGAAGAGGCCTGCAGTGACCTCCTCTCCCCGCTGTTTTGGTCTGTGACCCTCTGGGTGGTTGAAACCCCAGGACAGTTAAAAAGAAAAGATGCATTGTCCTCATACCCCGCACTCTTGAAAGCCCTTTGCTCAACTCCTTAAAAGAAAATAAAAAATAATACTAATCCTAAAAGCAGCTCTCGCCTATCACGTCATTCTAGCTAGGAAGGAAGCAGAGATCTGAGAACTGAGGTTCAACACCAGCTCTAGTGGGAAAGTCCATGAGACTCTTACGGCCAATGAACCACCCAAAAGCCAGAAGTGGGAGCCGTGACTCAAGTGCTACAGTGCTAGGCTTGAATTAAAAAAGCACAGGGAGGCCGGGGGCCGGGGGCTCACGCCTGTCATCCTAGCTACTCAGGAGGCTGAGAGCTGAAGATTGCAGTTCAAAGCCAGCCCGGGCAGGAGAGACCGTGAGACTCTTATCTCCAATAAACCACTAGAAAACTGGAAGTGGCGCTGTGGCTCAAGTGACCTTGAGCTGAAGAGCTGAGGGACGGCACCCAGGCCCAGAGTTCAAGTCCCAGGACCAAAAAAAAAGTAGTACAGGGACCGCACCCAGGTCTTGAGTTCAAGCCCCAGAGCCAGCATTATAAAGAAAAGGAAGAGCCTGGTGCTCACGCCTGTAATCCTTGCTACTCAG